CAGGATGGAAGGGCTCGACCCCTGAGCCACCACTCGGAGGAGAGCTGTAGAGACATCCCAACTAGCAACTTCCACACTGGCATTGGGCAAGCAGTCATGACGCTTATGTATTAAGTCACTGAAATATGGGGGTTGTTTGTTACAGAAGTTAACCTACTCTGAAGGAAATCGCTAATTGATATGTAAGAATTGACTCTACTTCAATAAAAGAGTTGATCTCATTATCATACCCCCCCAAAAAACTAACTTAATGTTTTTCCAGATTTGTAGCACATTTAGGATACTTTGGTTCCAAACATAGACTACATAGTGTGTATGAAATTTACTCTGGTGGATGCTTAGAAGTGCCCCAAAGGGTTAAGCCCCTGCATATAGGGGTACAGAGTGTCCCGTGACAGCTAGTTCTGAGAACGGGCCATGAGTTCTGAGTCAATGAAGACAACAGGTGTGTTTCTAATGTGATCATCAAGACGGAAGCCATCCAAGGCTTCTGACAGAATTGCGTGTCATGTGAGCAACCCTGGGTGGATCCCTCTGGGGATATAACAGTGGCAAGATGAATTTCCTTAATGATGGTTAATGATTCTCCAATGCCTAGCAGGGTGGCCAGCTTCTGAGAAAGTGTACGTCAAGTGGGCGACGCTGTGGCTGAGCCCAAGTCTCACCTCCCTGCCCCCGCCAGCCCACCATGGGAGTTACCTGTTTACCACTGGTACCTGTTCCTTCAGGGACACACCAGGGAATTGTGATGCAGTCAGCCTCCCTAGGATCTGAAGGACCAGGCATGTCCTAGGTAGGCCTTGACTAGGGGAAAGGTTTTATTGGCTTTTAAGGTTCAGGAGGGCCCCAGAGAAGCTGCTAGAACTAGATAGAGAACACATTCCTCAGATTGCTTAAATGACTTTCAGTCTTGGCTCAAAACTGATGCCACATTGGGACCATCTTTTGCCCATCAATTAGCTCAGAGCCACGTGCAACAAAATGGCATGGAAGGTATTTAACATGGCCACGAACAAGGACCAGCATCCTATGAACTAATGTCTACTGCACAGAGTTCTGTCTTAGATGTCATGGGGCCATGAGATGCCTCGGCCCATTGTTTTGGTGACTTTTGGAAGGTGGAGCCTAATCCCCAACTCCTTGAGTGTGGACTCTACTTAGTGCCTGGCTTCTAGAGAGCAGAATGTGGAAAAAGTGAAGGTCCTTCTGAGGTGGGGGCACTGTGGCGTTCCCCTTGCATCTCTTGGCTCCCATGACCCGTGTTATGAGGACACTCAAGCAGTCCAGCAGAGAGGACCGTGTGACAGGCACTGAGGGCTCGAGGCATTCATGCAAATGATCCTCGCAGTTGTGCAGATGAGCTGCCTTGAGCAAATCGCCCAGCCTCAGCGGCTCCTTCAGATGGCGACGACCCTACATGGCATCGTGACAGCAGCCTTGTGAGGACTCCCTTGGGGGGCGCTCCTGAATTCCTGACCCACAGAAACCGGGCGACGTGTATTATTTTAAGTTGCTAAATTCTGGAGTCATTCGTTCCACAACATGCAAAGAACGCAGGGACCCTTGTCCAAGACCAAGAGCATCCTAACAAAGACTCTCAAAGACACAGAGCAAAGCCTGCATTTTAGATAGAAGTGGGTGCGTGTGTGAGTGCGCTTAACACACTTAAAGTGTGCAACTGAATCGTACGACTCAAGAATTTTCACCTGTACCCATCAGGCCCATGCACCGACCACCCAGTTGAGGTATGGGATGTTCCTGGCACCCTAAGAAGCCCCTCGTGTCCCAACTAGTCGATAGCTGCTCCCAGAGGTAGCCCTTCTCTGCCCTCTATAACTATGGGTGAGTTTCGGCTGCTCTGAATTCCACCCAAGTGGCGTTTTTCAACATACATTCTTCTGTATTGGGCCTCTTTCACTCACCCCCAGTTGTTCTGTGTTTTGGTCATCTGTTCTTTTCACTGCTGGGCAGTGTTCCACTGTCCACATTCACCTATCGTCCAATGCATCTCTTTCCCTGTGGATAACACTTGTAACACCTGGAGGTTGTCACGAACAGAGCTTTGGTGGATTTTCTTATACCGTCTCTTCACAGGTCTGTGCAGTCAATATTCTCGGGGAATTCTTAGGACTGGAACTGATGGGTCACAGGGTGTATTTTTAAATATCAATTTTCCAAAATAGTTGTACCATTTTCACATTCCCACCCTAACATGTCTTTTTTTTTTTTTTTCATTTTGAAGCAGCCTCACTTTAAGATGAAAGAAAAACAAAGTTGGCCTTAATGAAGAATGAATGGCCACGAATAAAGAGTTTCTTGGATCATGTGGAACCGTGGAGGAAAGTCATGTGGTATGGGGTAGTCTGACGACAGTTCCTTCAGTCAAATACTTTGATTTTGATGGTTGGTTTGGGAGGAATTTGAGCCACTTGGGTCAAAGTTTTCACAAAGATGCACCGTGTGGGGAGAGTTGACACGAAGCATCCTTCAGGCGAGCCTTTGCATCTTCCCACACGCACCGCTGTTTATGGCCAGCCAAGTGCTGTGACAGGCACACACGGCCTTGACGCTTGGCACAGCTTGCCCAGGCACCGCCTTGATGCGTCTCCCGCAGGCTCCGCATCAAACAAGAAAGCAGAGGACCTTAGGAATGCCACACTCCAGGAGGTGGGCCCCAGAACACATGGCCCCAGAGCCAGTCTCCACTCAGCCCAAGGGGCGACTCAATGTCCCTCCTGTCTCGGTGCCAGACACAGTGCTGTTTTTATTGGTCGTTGGGGCCTCCGTGAGAGAAAATGGAGACCAGGAGGCCAGAACAGCAACTCTAGCTTCCAGCTTCAGGTGAGGCTCAGAGATACTCAAGGCGATATTTTTTCTATTTGGAAAATTCAAAATTGGCAGCCACCTAGATGCCCCAAAAGAGGCAATGGTTCAATAAAAGCCCCTCTTCCCCCAGTAGGCAGTGGGAAGCACCTGGTTTTTTTGTTTTCGTTTTTTGTTTTGAGTTGGAGTCTCACTCCGTCGCCCAGACTGGAGTGCAGTGGCACGGTCCCAGCCACCGCAGCCTCGACCTGCTGGGCTCCGGCAATCCTTCCGCCTTAGCCTTCCAAGTAGCCAGAACTATAGGCGCACGCTACCACGCCCAGTTAATTTTTTATTTATTGTAGAGACGAGGTGTGGCCAAGTTGCCTGGGCAGGTCTCGAATCCACAGGCTCAGGCAACCCACTCACCTCAACATCCCAAAGTGCTGGGATGACAGGCTGAGGCACTGAGCCCGGCTTATGCACCTTGTTTAAGGGCAGAGAAATGACCAACAAGGCCTTGGGAAACCCCAAAACAGCAGCACATATGCAGGAGGGAAGCACCTGGGACAACCATTTCCAGACCCTTTGGGAGAGAGTTGGGGCTCTTCATAACCAGTGACTCTCTTGCATGTCAGCGGCCTTGCTCCCAGGGACAGGGAGCACAAAGCCCCACTTTCCGAGCTCCTCCTGTACACCGGACACTGGGTTGAGCCCTTGCAGCATTAACCAGCTTGACCCACGACAGCTCCATGGAGCGGGTACATCATCCTCATTTCAAAGATGAGCTCTGAGCCAGGCTCGGTGGCTCAGCCTGTAATCCCGCGACTTTGGGAGGCTGAGGTGAGTGGATTGCCTGAGTCCATGGGTTCGAGACCCGCCTGGGC